GCTTCAATTGCCAGAAATGTTTTAATCTCTTCTTTTTTGTAAACTTACATGAAATTTAGACACACATATTCATGTGCCAACATTAAAATAGTTTTTCTCYAGTCTGTTCTCTACGGATTTTATAGCAAGTACCTTCATGTGCTCTCAGATTAATCAAGTGTAATAGTCTCCTCTTGTAAATTCAGATTTTTATTGATCATTTCAACAGTAATTTTCTGTGCCTGTTCCTTGTTGCATAGAGGAGACTACAAAAGGTGCCAGAGGAGGCCCTGGTATAGCTGTGTGTGGCACAGCTGCTGGTGTCTTGCTCTTTTTCTACTAGAAACCTTCCCTGATGCCATTTGAGTTTTTCTGTTTCACGCTGGCACTTTTTCACAGTGTCGTCCTGTGGCTGCCTGATACAACCAGATCCTTTTCCCAGGCTGCTGGATTGACAGGCTTCCTCTATGCTGCAGAACTGGTGTTACTGTTGTGTTATTTTTTCTGCTTTATTTTACTGACTTGCCTTATTTATTATCCTATTTCTCATGATCAGCCTGTTGCTTTCTCTGTTGTATCCTCATAGCTTTTGCCTATCTAGTTGTGTAATCACTCTCATGATTCCTGCGATGTGTGAAATTAAAACACAAAACATTATTAGTCCCAAGACAGTATCCAAAATACAGAATACATAATCCCTGTTCCTTAATGCAACTAGGATAAGTTTAATGTATAAATGAAGGTTTAAGTATAAATGAAGGTTTAAGTATAAATGAAGGTTTAAGTATAAATGAAGGTTATTGGGCCAGTTGTTTTGGATTGTACATTAAGATATTTCTGTCTATTCAGAACCCAATAGCTCTCTTTGTGGGCTCTATCCGTGTAGGTGTCTGGGACATACTAAGTAATAAATATCAAATTACTCCTGTTTCACCTGTCAAGGGCCTTCAGGCAGGGGTTGGGCCTTGTTTGACTGAGCATGGTAAAAAAAAAAGTCTTTGGACAGACATTTGGGTGAAATAAGCGAAGAACAGTTTTGTATGTGGGGCAATGTAAAATGAAGTGTAAAGGGAATGATTGAGGAAGGAAACACAGGTAAAATTGTTGACCGCCAAGTGGGAGACTTTGTGATTCCCAACTGGGTGAGGAAAGAATTGGCAAAATCTTGAAAATAACCTGTGGCAGAAAATGGAAGCACTTTCCCCCCATCTTGATTAATTCCTAGGTGGGTTTGCTCTGTTGGGATGTGAAGTTTATGTAAAACTTTGTTTGAAGTGAAGGCAGTACCTCCCTGCCAAAGGCAGCAGAGTGTTACACAGTGCTACTCTTTTAGAAAGCCCCTTTCTGGAGCCTCTGGAGTCTCTTGGAATTGCAAAGTCCCTTTTCTCCCAGCTCTGGCTGGGCACTGTRGAGGGTTGTTGACCTTTCCTTGAGCAGAGAGCATCTGAACTCTACAGATCTTTGAGTGCTGTTGGTTATTCAAAGTGACTGGTATAAATATCAGCGGATTGGAGACATGAAGTGCTGCTTTCATTTGTCGTGGTGATGGCACAAAAAAGTCTCTTTGTTTCTTCAGAGATTGCCTTCACTTCCTGCCTGTGCCATTTGTCATTAGAGTTTTCTCTTGCAGTTTTTTGACTTACAAAATCAGCCTTGACAATCTAGAACTGGCTAACAGAAAAACAAGGTTTGTTTAGAGAGTTTACAACATACAGACATCCTAACCAGAGAGAAAGTAAAAGGCTTAACAGACTTATTGTCTGTTAAGGAGATTAATGATTTGACAGGGGGAGATTAATGATTTGACAGGGGGAGAAAAAAATCAACCGCAGAAGAACCCAAAAACTCTCCGCAAACCAAACATGTAATAAAATAATAAGGAACATTTGTACTGAGCTGCAAAATGAAGAAGTCTGCACACATTAGAGGCTTTTATAATTGTGTTAGAAGCAAATGTCATAAGTTTATTGTTCTTTCATGAGAAAGAGATGCAATAGCAGGAAAGATCCTCCTTTCTCCTGCAGATGCCAACAGTTCTCTTAAACACCTCTGTCAAGTGCTGCAGCATTCTAAAATGTACAAAGAAYGGAGAGCTTGCCTTCGATTTCTATAATTCCTTAGGAACTTACTGGTTTTATTATCTTTTATAGAAAGGGTGTTTTCCTACTGACAGTTCTTACTATTTACACAAATTATTATATAGCACCTTTTCTAATGATCCAGGTTCCAAAATCCCTCTCATATTTTATCTTTTTAAAGATTATTTATAGAGAGTTTATACAGAGAAGGCATTCTACTTATATTTTAAACTAACAAATCTGAAGGTGTGAACCATATGTCACTTAGGTATCCCTCTGTGTTTCTGCAGAACTGATGTGTTGTTCAAGCCCATCTTCAGCCGCAAAGCAAGAAACTTAACGTTATTCTGCAGATAAATGTTGTCTGTACATCTGCTGCTAAATAGGTGAAGGCCCGAGTTGGTAGTTCTGACATTTTGTTTCCAGTTAGAAAGCAGAGGAAAATATGCGGTTAAGGACCAGGTTAATTGGTACTGATTTCTGGGAAGTCCTAAAGGAGTTTTGGTTTGAGAAGGGGGTTAGTTGGGTGGGTTGTGCTGTTGGTTTTAGTGGTTTAGGTTTTTTCCTTTAGAGTTAATACAGAAACCAAGCATATGCTGACAGCTGGTAAACTGGAAGTTCATTTTCTTGGATGAGTGTTGGTGGGAGGTCACTAAAGGATATTGCTGCGTGATAGACATGGCTGYTCCTTCTGCCTGTGGTGTGTGATGCTTAATAGAGCAAGGCCAGGCAAGGACTGCAAACAATTTGAAATGTTCCGTGCTGCAGAATTTTAATGAAGTCATCTGGGAAAGGGGTTTTGCAAACTGGGCACTTCCAATACATGACATCTGACTGTCATTCTGAGAGAGTTATTGAATCAGAGGGTATTTTGCATTCTTTCTCTCTGTCACTTGAGTTCAGCCCCCAGCTACAGTGATTAAATGTCACTGTTCTTTTAATGCTCTGCGTGAAACAAGCCTAATTTTCTATTGGTTCTTTGGAAGCAAAACCAGGGCTATCACCCAAGGCAGGAGTGTTCATACCATCCCAGGCTAAGGCACCAGTGGAAGACTTGACTTTCAGGAGACACTCCCTGGACAGAGCTGTGCCCTCAAAACATGAGGATGCAAACTCATTGCCCATTCAAGAGTGGTTCCTTCACTAATTCTAAATGCTAATTCCAACACTAATGGTTGTATTCTTGGGAAAGTATAGCAGCAGGCAAACTGCCACTATCTGCTCTAGTTTTATCACCTGGAAAATCTCAGCTATCCTTTTTGCCATACAGAATAGAACAGATGTGATGTAATGTGTGTCTCTTCTTATGAACAGGCAAAATTATCTGCAAAATTCTGCTTTTCTTTGGTCTTGAAAAGAACAGCTTGTATCCTTAGCTAGCAGGGAAAATGGTCTGGCATATTTAAGAAAAAAAGTAYTGCAAATATTCAAATAATTCACATGTCTAATTAGTATAAAATATACATATCTGCACACCCCAAAAACAAGGCTTTTGAAAATAGAAGCTCTTGTCTTGAAAAGTAAGAAATTCTATTAATGTTAGGTGCATTGCAGCCTCACCGCTTTTATATTCCATCTCCTTGCTTCATTTTTTGTAGTTTCACATCTGATAACTACCAGTCACTGACAATCACTTCACTGCAGGAAAAACAACACTGACTCAGAGTTATCCAATTTTTGGATTGAAAGTACTATTCACTTGCTCTGAAAATGCTGACTCAATTGACAGCTCAAAAAAAGTCTAAACCCAGAAAAGCCCTCTAGCACCTTTATGTGAGAACATCTRCCAGGCTGATAGAAATTAGCCTGCATTGCATTTATTTATTCACTTGCCGATACTGCACTCTTGATATTTTTCTACAGAGCAGGGTGTGCTCAGTTGTTCTGTAGGATGGAGTTAGCAGTCTTCCCAAGCTGAAATTCAGCCTGGTGGACGCAATTCCAGAAATGTATGGTGGATAATTCAGAGGCTGCCTAGAATGTCAGTACTTTCTAATCATYGGTGCTTAGGTTAATAAGGATTTGAGGGACAGATGTACAGAGAGATAAAAGAAATCATGGTCCAAGAAGTGGGGGCTGGGAGGGGAGAAGTCACAAGGTCTCTGGAAGCACATAATTGGGACGCCTCTCTGCAAAACAAAGATTTGTGGTCCATATGTGTTTTGCAATACAGAATCACATTGTAAAAATGCATTATATTGTTAGGATTATTATAATCCCAGAATAAAGCTCTCTTACTGGGTCATTCCATGACTTTCCTGGCACAGAAACACATCTGAATGTGATGAATGGAGATTTCCATGACCTCATTCAGCCCATCCTAGTGGGTTTACATGTGCTCTGGATCATGTAGTGTTGTATTGGAACCCATCTCACAGAGGAAGAGGAAGAATCTGTGGCAAGGAAGCTCATGAGGAAGGTCTATGCCTGCTGGTCCTTTGTGCATTACTGGGGCAACATCAGTGCTGGCACAGCTCCTGCTCCACAGATTAAATCAAGCACCRTGGCTGTTGTCCACTGAGCTGAACTCAGTCTGTTGCAGCCATCCCCAAGGGCTGTGCATGGTCTCAGGTGCTGGAGGATGTGAGCTGTGTGCTGAGATGCACAGATAGGATATGAAAACTTCAGGGCACACCCCTTAGTAGGACYTCAGGCAACAGGAGCTTGTGCGAAAGCCCAGGTACTTCCTGCATCTTGGCAACATTTTGGTTATTTAATCTTTGTTTACTTTCCAAAGCCATTTGACTCTTTTGGTGTGGAGTAGCTTGCTCCAGTCCTGTATCAGATCATTTCTTTCCTTAATTTAAAAAAAAACATAATTATACAATCTTAACATTTTGAGCCAAATAGCTGCCTACAGTTATTTCACTGCGGTGACCTCGTCTGAGCATCAGGAAAGCCCTACTGGCCAATCTCAGCCATTTTCCCTTTGCTTTCTTGCAGGCTCTGATACTTCACCAGCTTGGGCGCTTTAGCTTGGCGGAGAAGATTCTCAGAGATGCTGTCCAGGTGAACTCCACAGCCCACGAGGTCTGGAACAGCCTGGGAGAGGTGCTGCAGGCTCAAGGCAATGATGACGCCGCGACCGAATGTTTCCTGACGGCACTGGAGCTGGAAGCCAGCAGTCCTGTGGTTCCTTTTACCATCATTCCCAGAGTCCTTTGAGAGGGCATCTCAATCAACCGATTTTTGTCCTGACTTGTGGGTGAGGAAACCCAGTGTGTGAGACTGCCTGTAACTGGTTAGTTTGAGAAACTTTAGAGCTACAGGTAACAAACTCCAGTCTTTTGCAGGAAAGTGGCCAAAGCTGGGAGGTGCCACCATGTGTTAATGCCAGACTGAGAGGACGGAGTGGTGAGCCAGAGCCAAATCACTCATATCGCCTGCAGTTTTGCCCTGGTAGTTTTAAAACATCGTTATATTGTTCATGGATGATGTGCCATATTTTGTTAGTGATACTTGAGTGTTACATAAAATTATAATGGAATCAACTACCAATTGTAGAATAAGTTAAGATTCAGTGGCAGAGCAGACTATTTTTAACAAGGCTGTTAATAAAACTGTTCTCTTCCTGCCTCTCAACCTCTTTTGGCCCAAAGTCAAAATGTGAATTTTCTGTTTCCATCTCTATTTTAGTCCAGGCCAGAAAATCAGTTGAGTTCTTGTTTTTAGTTGTTAATAACTGTGATGTGTGGCTAACTGTTATCTAGAGCAAAGGCTGAGTACAAGAATATTTATATTTTACCAATGTATGCCTGTTACAAAAAATATATTAGTTATTTAAGTTTAACTTTTTTATGTGAATTCAGAGTTTATTTATCAATGGAAATATGTAAAAAGAAGACTCAAATGGAATATTTACCGACACTCCTTATACATGAACCCACACTTGGCTAAATGGGAAGATAATGTTAATAATAAAATGATTTTTAAATGGAAACTTTCCTGTGTCCTKGTTAAGAATCTGGGGGAAATAGGTGACTTGTGAACACATTTTTATGATGTTGCTGGCTGGCCTTGAAGATGAACAACAGCAAAATTAAATGTTCTGAGGCCAGTCTAGAGAAAAGAAGCCACTGTACTCTTTGCCAATTGTGTTGTTATGCTAGATTTCAGGTTTCTTTAAATCTTCACTGCTCCYTTTTTATTCCTTCCACTCCAACTCTCAATGAAGCAAGATTACTCTGCCTCTACATAATACATGGACATTTACATATACCTTGGTAGCGCTTGGGAAAAGCATGTTAAATATTTACATMATATTCTTTAGTTTTCTTGACTGTCTTCGTAGTTTTTTCTCTGCATCTCCTGCACTTTATGTCTTTTGAAGGAAAAGTTGGCTGGTTTTTCTAGACAAATGCTTGCCAGAGATTCTCTGGGATGTGTGGAGAAGAGTCCTTGTTGCAATGATTGTTCAGGGTGTGTGATCTGGGGCAATAGTGCCCGCTCATGTACAGCATTGGGCACATTTGGAGCCTGGGAAGAGTTCCAGGTTCCCCATTAGACTCCATGCTCCTTGATACTTGGCTGATTTTAAGTGCTTAGCACAAGATAGCACATGATTCAGGAAAATAGGAGCAAATGTTGTTCTTTGTCGCTCACCAGAGCTTACTCACCTCAAACACATGGAGGATCCTCACTGCGGCAGTATGGGGCTCCAGTGGGCATCTTCAAATGGCAGAAGACTTAAACTTGGGGAGCTGTTCAGTTTTCCCCCTGGCATTTCATGTGCCTGTTAGGCTGAGGCTACTTTGAAATTGAATCTGCTTGGTATTTGGACCATATGTTCTCTGTAAAATGGACCAAAATCCTGTAATAGGTAATGTTTTCAAATCTATTTTAAAGGCAGTAGAAATTGTGTCATCTTGCTCACTGCGAAAAACATCAGTTTTGTTTCCCCATTTAAAGTCCCTGTTTGGCATGTTTTCTTCCTACTGTCCTTGGCTTTCTTTTTCTCTTTCCTATTTGCCAACTGTTCTCTCTTTTCTAGTCCCAGTTTGTAATTTGTGCTCTGGCCCTGCTGTCTTTTGGCACCCATTTCATGATAATGAAAAAATAGTGCAAAACCTGTATTTGTTTAACTCAGTTCCTGCTGAGCATTTCTCCTATCCCAGTTCCATTAGTCAAATTTGAAATATCTTTCTCAGGTGTGCTCCTTCACAGTGTTGATTCACCTTTTTCTATAATATYAAAGCTTTTCTCACAAGGCAGTTTGCACCTAGATCTGAGGTGGGTGGTCTTCCTCRAGGGAGCTTCAAACAAAAGTAGAGAATAGGAGTATTCTGTAACAGAATTCAGTTCTGATTCTTCTCATTCCATTGCAAGTCCTGGCCTCTTTTGATAAACTTCCAGTGTGGAAAGGTTAGCAATCTAATTGTGTCATGCCTTTTATTAGTGGAGAAGTTGTCACTGGTGTTGTGCATATCAAGTGAACCTGAGTATCTGTTTCCTTTTTCTTGCCCTGGAATCAGTTTCACTGTAAATCCACAGGCTTCTACCTCTTGGGAATAGCCTCAGATACCTATTTTTACAAAAGGATTATCTCTGTACGTCTGTACATTTAGGAATTTTCAGGCAGAAGTGAAAATCCTTGCAACATATTAATTAAACAGCAACCCTTGTTTAGACATAGTTTTCAAGTTAAAACAAGTTTCTAGGTTTTACAGTTGCATTTTTTTCTTTTTTTTTTTTTTTTTTTTCAGGTAAGAAGGCCAAGATATTTTTATAGCTGTTTTAGTTCTATACAGAAAGATCTTCCTTTCGTGATCTGCTCTCAGACCGCCGTAGTGTTTCAGTCACTGGAGTGAGGGAAACAATGCCCTTGTGCACAGGCAGGAAGTGTTCCCTTGGTGTCCATGGGTTGGTGTCATCCTCGTGAGGGGTGCTCCTGGACTTTGTGGCTGGAAAAATCTATGTGGACGCACAATCTGTGTGTGCTCTTGGTCCTCCAGCCTGTGTCTGGAATAAGATCTGTTCAATCCTTGGTGAGGTAAATCAGGGGCTGAAAACCACACCAGCCCYTTGCTCCCTTGTCTCAAGGTGTTGCTAAGCTTTGGGTGGGAGCCGAATAAAGGCTTCAGGTTGTTCTTCCATCTGATTTACTGCACCAGTAGTGACATTAACATCAGAGGAGAAAGGCAGGACAGCCCCTGCTTGGGCCAGGTTAAAATGGGTATTAAAGTGCACTGTCAAGCACTCATACCAATAGGATGACAAGTTGCACAAGCCTGAGATCTCCAGCCTTTCAGCAGGGGTTGCCTACACTTCTCTTCGATCCATAAGGCTGGGACAGCAAGTTTCAGAGGAGACYCCCCTTATTCTGCAGTGTGCTTGTGCTACTCAAAATGATTCACATTTGGTTTACTAAGCATATGCTAAAGTGTAACAGCAACCTCTGTTGCACTAGATAAAAGGTYTGACTCTGCAGTGCCTGCAAATAAGAAAACTTATCATTCAAGTAATTGGTAGAAGTTCATCTCTAATTTTGGTGCGATAACCATTTTTATTCTACGATTTATTTCATTTCTACTTTTGCTTTCATGATTGATAGAGAATCACAGGAACAAGAGAACCAATCCAAGCAGAACTAATCCAACTGTATCCTTGAAAACTTTTGTCATTAATTATATGCATTTTAAACATCAAAGCTATTTTTAAAATTGCTTTAATTTTCCTTGAAAATCTGTTTTTTTCCTGAGCAGACTGTTCTACTCTGGAATGATAGCAGAAGCTTGGATATATGGGAGTTCCAGATTTACCTTGCTAATTCTTTGTTTGTTCAGTTGTCAGTTATAATGATATTTTTCTTGCAATTGTCCTTTCTCTCCTCTAGCATCAAGTTTTAAAGCTTATATGCTAAAATATGCTTTCAGCAAGTACACTTCTCCAGCATTTCATCTATTTAACCTTATCAGTTCCAAACTACCTTTTCAAATCTCACTGACAGGCTATGCTGGACTGTGTTACACTWCCACATTATTGCAAAGACTAGCTGGTAAGGATTCTACTCATCCACGACAGGAAAGACAGAGAATATTCTGTGTATGTCCCATGTGGCTGATGTTGCTGTCTGAGTGAAATTTGCTGGGAGTCTCTCAGCCTTGCAAAGCCAGCAAGTGGGTTCGAAGAAATGGGACAGTGAACTTAAACATAAGGAAAATCAGAAAGAAATTAAACTCCAGGCTTTTTTGGAAAGAGGAATGTGTGTGGKGTGTGTGTTGGTTAGACTGTGCTCTTCCCCATTGCAGGGACACAGGGTCCTGAAATGCTGGTTTGCCACCACCTTGGTCACCTGGCCTTTCCAGYTCCCAGTTTCAAGCACCTTTGTAGCCCAGCTGTGTAGTCTCCCCAGTTACTATTTCAAAGAGAGAAAACTGTTGCTCTTAATTTCTAAATCCTTTGGAAAGGTGTAACTGTTTCTGCCTGGCTCCTGTTCCATGCCTGCTCGTGGGACAGACAAGCAGCAGGTGCCACTGCCCTGGCACTGGGCATTTCCAGATGTGATCTGGCATTGCCAGGTGTGATCTTGTGGATGTGTCCCTGAAGCACAGCAGGAGCACACAGCCCTCCCRAAAGCAGGAGGGAAAGAGCTTTGGCCTTTCTAAATATGCCTTCACTTAGAAAACTTCCATGGAGGGACTGAGTGTAAAAACCTATTTTAGACAATTAAGGGTTCAATGAAATGTGTCATTGCTGTGCTGAATTCTTTTCCTTTGTGTCCTTACATGAGGCAGGCATGTCTATAGGAGAGATGACCCTTGTCTGCTTCATCCAGGTATAAATCTCTACAGCCTGCTCCCCCTGTTCTCACTGGGAATAGCGTGACTGGCTCCTGGCTCCCTCTCTGCCTCTAGAATTGCCTCCCCAAGGATGTGATGCTCTTCAATATGAAATTACTGAAGACGCCCTGTCTATCTGGCAAGAAAAAAATTAATCAATAGACAAGATAATGATAGTATTTCTTGGTTATTACCACAGTGACATGGCTTTAAAAGCACACAGGGTCAGTGTTTTCCTCTTTGTTGCTATAGCTGAGCCCCCTCCTTTGTGAGGACAGTAAAGCTGAGAGTCCCTCTGGTGGGTACAGCTGAGGAACAGACATCTGATCACACGTGGACCCCTGGGCTGGCTCCCAAAGAGAAAAATGGACCTGCTTGCCAATGTGTAAGGGGATGTTTGTTCTACACATGTGCATGCACATGCTCACAGTTAGAGAGAGCCATGTCACAGGTGCATTTTACACCTGTGGGAGAGTTTTGAGAGGAAGATCCTGTACAAATTCATTTTAGCTCCTGTAAAGACAACTCATCTATGAACAGGCTTTGCTTTTTTTGACAGAAAGTTGGTTGTGCCAGAAAAGAAGATTCCGGCCCCAATTTTCACTTCCAGTACGTGTCAAATGTATATCAAATGATAAGCCTGAGACATTGTTATTATTAGTGCAGGCTTTCCTAAGATTGTTGTTTTCCAAACAGCACCAACTACTAATGTAGGACTGGAGGGGGCAACAGAGGCCATAAAACATGCCAAGTTGCTTTCCATTTGACAAATAAAATAGCTCTTTATTGGAATTAAAACAGCAATCTTCTGACTGAAAAATTATTTTTAAGGGTCCCTTCCAGAAGGGTTTTTTCCTTTTGTTTCTTCTTTTTAATATTGCAAACTTTTAGCATAACTAACAAACTAACTCCTGTGTGTTGGAGTGAGAGCCCTGCAATCTTTAGGTCCTGTGGCCAAAGCATCCAGCAAATGCCTTCACTGACACAGGACCTACACGCTCTTAGGGTAAAATCACTTCTTCCCAGACGTTTTCTTCAGAATAAGCCCAGCTTGGTTGCTGATCCCATTGCCCCCCTTCTGCAGTGGTTGCCTGTGCTGGTGGCCAGCCTGCAGGAAGCCCCATTTCTAGGGCAGGTGCTCCTGGCCTTCCTGGCTGCACAGTGGTGCAGGGGC